TTGTTTCATTACATCTGCAAAGACCATTTTCCAAATACCTTCACATTCACAGGTACCAGGGGTTGACACATGGATGTATCTTTTTGGAGGCCACCATTCAGCCCACTTCCCTCTCCACTGCAGCTTACCAGAAAGGGAGAAGATCATGATGGGGACACCCAGGGTGTGGCTGTGGCCCCAGTTTGGATGAGCACATAATCCTTCCCCTTCACTCCAGGTGCCTGGAGCTCAGGCATGTGAGGCCTGGAACTGCAGTTTCAGCTGTGTGTCCAGGAAGGAAAGAAAAAAGGGATTTGGAGATTCTGTAGACAAACTCCCCAATCTCTGACCTGGGATCTTTACTGGTGATTCCTTGCAGCTCCCTAGAACTGCTTTCCGGAGTTCCCCACATGAGAACCGCACAGCCTGGCTGCCCATGGCTTCATCATCCTCATGATGGAATAAAAGCAGGGGTCACTCAGGAGCGCTAGAGCAGGAGGTAAGGGCTGATTTTCCTTTGCAGTGTCCTTCTCAATAACCGTGAAGCTCTCTGGTACTGGGGTGTAGATGTCACTCTAACGGTCGCAGCAACCCTAGAGTTACAGTAGTTGGAGCCAGCATGATTGAGTCGTCGACAGCATGGACACCTCCATGCTGTGTTTGTGTCTCAGAACTCAAAAGCAGTGATCAACTGCAGATGCTGATCTGTTGGATTCTTTCTTTTCTTTTTTCTTTTCTTTTTTTTTTTTTTTGGAAACAGAGTCTTGCTCTGTCACCCAGGCTGGAGTGTAGTGGCGTGATCTCAGCTTACTTCAACCTCCACCTCCCAGGTTCAAGTGATTCTCCTGCCTCAGCCTTCTGAATAGCTGGAATTACAGGCACGCTGCCACCAGCTAATTTTTTGTATTTTTAGTAGAGATGGGGTTTCACCATGTTGGCCAGGATGGTCTCAATCTCTGGACCTCATGATCCACCTGCCTCGGCCTCCCAAAGTGCTAGGATTATAGGCGTGAGCCACTGTGCCCTGCCTGAACTGTTAGATTTTAAAGCAAGATCTGTTAGGGGTCCATATTTGAAGGCAGCGTTATTTTCTCTGTTCATGGCATCTGAACACATCTGCTGTATGTCTCCCTTCCTATCAGGAGCCAGACAGTCCAGATGGTTCCAGCAGTTTGTGAAAAGCAAGCCTTTGCCAGTTGGCAGCCCTCTCTCCGCGTAAGATCTCAACCTCGGTGCCCTAAGGGAAACACTGTCTGTCCTTTGAGATTCCTGGTTCTGCCTGTGAGTCTCAGTTTCTGCCCTGAAAATGTCCTACTACTTTTGATCAGCCACTAAGCTTCATGTTAGATGGCTGTGAATATCTGTGAATTGTTGAGTGAAGGAAGTATTACCTTCATTTGATTGTGAAAGTCTCTCCATGTTCCACTCAACCCTCAATGGGTTTTCACGTGGAGACTAAATTTCAGAACAATCAGGATTCTCATTTTTCCTTAGCTCTAATTTTGAATTAAGAAGTATTATTGGCCGGGCACAGTGGCTCACACCTGTAATTGCAGCACTTTGGGAGGCCAAGGTGAGCGGATCACCTCAGGTCAGGAGTTCCAAGACCAGCCTGGCCAATATGGCGAAACCCTGTCTCTACTGAAAATACACAAATGAGCCAGGCAAGGTGGCGGGTGCCTGTAATCCCAGCTACTCAGGAGACTGACACAGGAGAATCACGTGAATCCTGTAGGTGGAGATTGCAGTGAGCCGAGATCTGTACTCCAGCCTGGGCAACAGAATGAGATTCTATCTCAAAAAAACAAAATGTATTATTAATCTTCAGAGTGACAGTCTGACTGTTTAAATGTCTTGTGTAATCCAGCTTGATGGCATGTTGGGAGCTCATTGACCCTCCCATCCTAACAACTGAAAATCAACACTGTATGAAACAGCACTGCTCAGTGTTGGATGCCTGCAGTTTGCAAGGTCCCAAAGAGAAGGGGCAGGTCAGGGGTCCTGTGATTTCCCAGCATCTCACATATGGAGGGTCTCTGGATGTGCAGGACCATCCAGAGCCCAGCCGCTCCCTGAGAGGAGGCAGTGTGGAGTTTGGGGGCACTGTGGAGGCTGGAACTGAGGGTGTGGAGTCTTGGAGAGGAAAGAAGTCTGTGGAGTGTTGTTTTGCTTTTATAGCTGGATATTGACCAGCCTGCCAGTGCAAAGAGGCTGTCAAGGCCAAGGAAAGAATCCCCAGAAAAGAGCAGGTAGAAAAAAAATCCCCACAGCAAAAAGAGCCTGGGAAGAGTGTGTCCAGAGTGGAAAGACGTGGAGGGTGGGGTTACAGCCCCAGCAGTGGAGCCAAATTAACCCGATGTAAAGGGCTGCTCTGAAGCCACCTCACAAAACCATAGAAGCAAGCCTCAAAGGATGACGCTCACTCAGGGTAACTTTCTGTGTCTAATTTTAGCTGCAGGGGGTACATGTGCAGCTTTGTTACGTGCATCTATTGTGTGATGCTGAGATTTGGACTTCAGTGGAACTCACCACCCAGGTAGTGAACATAGTAGCCAGTAGATAGTTTTCCAACCCTTGACCATTTCTTTTCCTCCCCTTTTCAAGAGTCTCTGGTGTCTGCTGTTTCCATCTTTATGGCCCAATGCGTACCCAGTGTTTAGCTCCCACTTATAAGTGAGAACATGTGGTGTTTGGTTTTCTGTTCCTGCATTAATTTGTTTAGGGTAATGGCCTCTGGCTATATCCATGTTGCTGCAAATGACATGACTTCATTCTTTTTTATAGCTGCATAGTATTCCATGGTGGCTACGTATCACATTTTCTTTATCCAGTCCACCACCGATAGACACCTAGGTTGATTCCATGTCTTTGCTATTGTGAATAGTGCTGTGGTAAACATACAAGTGTATGTGTCTTTTTGGTAGAGTGGTTTCTTTTCCTCTGGGTGTATATGCAGTAATGGGATTGCTGGATCAATGGTAATGCTATTTTTGTTGTTGTTGTTTTTTGAGAACTCTTCAAACTGCCTCCTGCAGGTGCTAAACTAACTTAGAGTCCCGCGACAGTGTATGCATCCCTTTTCTCCTCAGCCTCGCCAGCACCTCTTGTTCCTTTGATTTTTTACTAGTAGCCATTCTGACTGGTAGGAGACAGTATCTCATGGTGATTTGATTTTCATCTCTCCGCTGATTAGTGATGTTGAACATTTTCCTATTTCTTGGCCACTTATGTGTCTTCTTTTGAGAGGTGTGTGTTCATGTTCTTGGCTCACTGTTTAATGGGGTTGTTTTTACTTGTTGCTTTAAGTTCCTTGTGGATTCTGCATATTAGGCCTTTGTTGGATGCAGAGTTGCTAATATTTTCTCCCATTATGTAGTTCATCTATTTTCTCTGTTGTCAGTCTGTCCCTGTCAGGTTTTGCTGCCAAGTGAGAAATAAAAATCTTTCTGTTTTTCAAACTCACTTGTTTCCTCAGAGGCTGCTGAAAGCATCCCTAACCGTGGTCTCGTGCCCCACCGAAATCGCCGATTGACTGTGATTGGGGTAATTGTGAGTGATTGCCTTGTCTCGGAGATAGGCCCTTGCAACTCCAGGAGACTTAGAATTCAGTGAAAAAAAGTTTCGGAGAAATAGACCTGTGGAATTAATTGTGTGTGTGAAGTAACCTGCAAAATGTTAGTATTTTGTATCTTTGTAATAGCTGAGAGATCTATCCTGACCCAACTTCCCATTTGCAAGTGCACAGAAAACAGCTAGAGAACAGCGCTGGTTGGCAACTTTGTACTCCTAGCGACTTCCAGAAACCGAAGCAGCCTAAGTAGCAGAAATTGGTTTGTCGACTGCCAGCTGCCTTTTAAAATAAAGTCACAAACTTAAATGCTCTGTTTTTCCAGCACATGGCTGCGCTATCTCAGGTCATTATGAGCAACTTCCAAGCCTGGACCTCTTGTAAAATTGCAGATTCTGACTCTGTAGGTCCAGGAGGGCCTTGAGAAGCAGCATTCTAAGAAGCTCCCAGGGCAGCCACTGTGGCTGCGGGTCCAAGTGCCACACTTTGAATAGCAAGACCTTAAGGCATTTCTGGTCTCTGTACTTCCAGTTCTCTCAAGAGACTTGGCATCCCGCAGCCATTTCGGAGAGACCGTTTGTGCCAGCTCTACCCCCTTTGAGGGTACAACAAGCCAGGAATCACTGAGAGCGGGACTGGAAGGTAACCTGAATAAAACTGGTGGTGGGGAGTTATGACGAAGCCACCATGGGCCCTGCTGTCGCCGACAGAATCCCCTTGCCCTGACATCGAGTTAGGGAGGTGGTATTCAAAATCAGCGGAAGATTCTCGGGAACGTGAGGGGAGAAGGTGAGATTTGAAGGGCTATTGTAATCCCTGTGGCAGATTTTACCTTAGTTCTGATTGATAGCTAACACATAGAACAGCTTGCTTATTTATTGCAATATGTATGGAAGGGAGGGAGGTCGAGGGCCTTACACACATAGGTAGGAAAGCATCACCATTGCTATCAGCTGTTGGCCACAGGCCTGCTGGGTGCCCACCGCCTCTTTGGCTTGCCCCAAGATTCTGACTTGTGGGCCTAATCCTATCAAGGAGCAGGCGGAGGCACTCAACATATGGGGGAAAATTGCAAATATTTATTTGTGAGGATTTTATTTCTCTATCTTCCACTCCCGGAGCACAATACCAGCAATGTTTTGGCCCTGTGTCACCGCGATGGGAGAAGTCCCTGTCTGCCTGGTTCCTTTCCCAGGCGCCACGTGGGGTATGGGACCTTCCCTGTCGCCCTCTTCCCGCCCCCTGTCCATCACACAGATGGCCACTACTGCTTGTGAATGGAAATGTCCAGAGAAAAGCATCACCTAAAACTTCAAAGGACTGCTAAGTCCCGGCTCAGGCTTCCCATGGAAATTCCATTCCAAGTCCAGCAAAGCACTTCTGTTTGCACAGTCCATCAGCTAAATTGGATGCATCTGTTTGGCTGCTGAATGGAAGATCGAATTTTGGGCACTTACTGTTGTAAGACATTTATTATAACACAAGGGAGAACTAGCCGGCCACGGTTCTGCATTCAAACAGAAATTCAGATGCCTGCATCTTTCGTGTGTTGCTCAAAAATCACAAACATCTGTGGGGAAAACCAAGGTATGGTGTACACTACACAAAGGTCATGTTCTTACATTCAAGACGCTAAATATGAACCGAAGGCCATGCAAAAGCATAATGCATCCTTTAATGTCCAAACCCAATTTTTGTTCTCTGCTTTAAAAGGGAACGCTTTCTGGTTTCACAAACAAGTTGGTCGGGTTGAATTTTTTTTGGAACAGCAGTCCTGCGCTAAACATCGGTTCTTGCCTCCCCACCCCCATTCTCTAAAATAAACCCAGCAACCTGGGAGGAGGCGGGTTTGTGCCACTGCAGCCTTCTGCTGTCCACTCCACGCAGCACCACTTAGACCAAGGAGAAACGGCAGCTTTCCAGCTCAAAGTCAACTCATTAGAAGAAAAGGTGGAAGATTGGGGGTGACAAATGGCTGATTTGTCCAGGGTTGCTATCCACTGCTGGTCTTTGCCTCAAAGGCCAAGGGCAGAGGCCTTGCCGGGCAGGCACCATGTTCTGGGCCCTGGCCTCACGCTGTGGTCAGTGGGTTGGCCACACGGCCCAGGAAGTACAGGGCAGTGGCATCTTGATCATATACAGCAAACAGGAATGGGTGGTTCAGGGTCAACTCCAAGACCTCAGGCCCCTTAGGCTGTTGGGGAGACTCTGTGGGCTCTTTCTTATCCGCTTCCAGTTCAAACAAAATGCTGTTCAGCACCTGCAAAGCAGCAGACATGAGGATCTTTCTGAGGGCGCACTGGGTGACCCAGGATGCTTGGGGCTAGAGGGCCGGCGAGGGCTCAGGACCTCCGTGCTATGCACTGTCCTAGAAGAGGACATTTTCCAGCCTGCCAGGAGGATGCACAGTGTATGCCTGCCCCTCAGTGTAGGCAACGGTGTGTCTGTGTAGATGACCCTCACTCAGCCATGATGGCCAAACTCACGAGCTGGCTCCTCCCTAACACACCCCTCACATCCTCCCATCTTCACGCTCCTCCCTGCTGGCCTGGGCAGAATTCCTGGCTCCCTTGGCTGTGGCCCACCAGTGCCAGTGCTTAGCTAACTTAGCATGGAGGGCTCATCCCGCCAGCCCCCATAGGAACTCTCACTTTCTCTCCAGCACCTAGCAGAGGGCCCAAAGCATCCAGGCGTGTCCTGGATGTGCATGGTGCCACATGGCAGGGGGACATTCTGTCCGCTGTTCAGCATTTCCCTGAAGAAGGGGCTGGACCCACGGCACCAGGTCCAAGGCTGCTCACTCTCCTTCTCCCAGTTTCAACTCTGCTATAGGATCCCTGGATGGCCTGAGGCAAGGCCAGGCCCATGGACCACACCCCCAGCAGGAGGAGGCAGAGCAGGGGTAGGGAGGGATTTGCTGCTCTGAACCTGGAAAGCCCGGAACCCTCTGGCCACTTGTCTCCCACTCTTGGCCCTACTCTCCTCTCCCTCTTGCCTGCTGGCCCCACCCACAGCCTCCTCTGTGTCCCTTCCATCCACGCCTCCACCCTGTGAATCCTCCAAACCTGGGTCAGGCACCAACACAGGCTCGCGCATACCTTTCCCACCCTGAGGTTGTCGTTGCTCATTTTTTGCAGGTTCAGCTCGGTGCCCAGAATGGTGGGCAGCTCAGCCTGGGCAAGCAGGTCCTGCAGGTCATAAGATCCTCGCAGCACCAGCCGGGGCATGGTCAGGTGGATGGCCCTGGGGAGGCGATGCACAGTTAGGACGGTTCCAGGCAACACAGCAAGGGCTCTCCCAGAAGCCTGGTGGGCATATGCTGCTTGCACCCGACCCTGACAACGGGGATGTTTGCCCCTTTCACCCGACTAGGCCATCCTCCCCCTTGGGGAAAATTTCAGCAAAACCTATAATAAAAAAAAAGGTTCCTGTCATTTGAAATACTATGAGAGGGACACAGAACGTTATTTACTGGTGAGGACCTAGGAACAGTTGTCCTTTGGCACATTCTGTTTTTAGGTTGGCTGCATCGAAGGTGTGTTGCTTGGGTAATTTTACAATGCTATTCTCTAAAATAATGCACCGTGTCTTATTACTGCTACAGTGGTGTTCTTGATGACAAGACCCCCATGAAAAGGAGAGAGGCAGGAGGGTGCAGCGTCAGCCTCGTGCTAGACACAGTGCTATGTCAACTCAACTGATCTTCATATAGAGCCTCTTCCATCTTTTGGCATCCCTCAGAGCCCGTGGACATTTCTAGGGATGTATTGAGCACTTGTAAGAGTTACAGTACATCCGTGTTCACAGCAGCTCAAAGGTGGAAGCAACCCCCCTGTCCATTGATGGATGAGGGGATTCACTAAAGGTGGTAATCACATGCAATGGAGCATTACTCAGCCTTCAAAAGGAAGGACATTCTGACACGTGCTACAACATGGTGAACCTCGAGGACATCGTGGTGGTTGCCGGGGGCCGAGGGGAAGGGGAAATGGAGAGTTAGTGTTTCAGCGGGGCAGAGCTTCAGTCTGGGAAGATGAGAAGATAAATGGGGATGGATGGTGATGGTTGCACCACACGGGGAATGTGCCTGGTGCCACTGGACTGTGCACTCGGAAATGGTTACAACGGCAAATTTTGTTGTGTATATTTCACCATCATACTTTTTAAAACATAAAAAACACCCAGAGTTGACATCAGGAAGCCATTGTGTCACTCAGTGACTCAATGCCTGCCTCTGGGAGCAGATTTCCAGACCTCAGTGATCTGGAGTGATGTGTAGGTTGAGTCTCGGGCTCTATAGAAGGGAATTGCTGCAGGAAAGAGGAGCTAATGACACTTGTCCCCAGCAAGGGCATTCTGGAGTCCAGGGACACTCCCTGAGAAGGTCCCACCCCCCGGTCATATGCAGTCTGAACCCTCCTGGCAAGTCAGTCCCAAGAAGCTCTTGGATGCCACAGATGTGCTGTGTGTCAGGTGTGGGCCGAAAAGGTCCTCTCTCAGAGGGCGAATTGCAGCGTTTTGTCTCCCTCCGAAACTAGCAGGCAAATGTAAGTATAGACAAAGCATTCTTCCTCCCCTCCCTTACCACCATGCCTGCACCTGAGAGGCAGACACTAACTGGAGAGCTGGGTGCTGGGTGGATGGAGAGCTGGTCGACGGACACACTGCCGCCTGCCCAGCCCTGTGCCATCGCGGCCCTGCCCTGCTCTGCACCCAAGGCTCAGCTCGTGCGTATCTACTCCCCAGCCCATCCCCAGCCCGGGCAGAAGGACAGTGCGGCTCCCACATTCCAGAGGAGACCCGGACGGAGGTTCCTACCGGGGAGACAGTTTATTCATCCAGTTGAGGGAGTTCTGCTGGAAGGTGAGGGCCTCCACCTTGTCCAGGTCAGAGGCGTAGTGAGGCTGGATCAGCAGCAGGCAGGCACTCTCCGTGAAGGGCACTTGAGTCACTGAGAATTTGTCCTGGGCATCGCTCCAGTGCTGGAAGGTGCCCGTGCCAGAGAGCATGGGGACAGACACTGAGGTGCTGTTGTCCACCCAGAACTCCTGGGGCTCGGCCAGCAGGGAGAAGCCCTTCATCTTCCCTGAAATCCAGATGGGAGAGGGGGAGGGAAGAGTCAGCCGGGATGGGGCAGGGAAGAGGGCTGGCAGACACCAAAAGCCCAGATCCTGCCCCCTCCCTGCCTCAGCCTCCTTCCCTTGCCTGCCCCAGGCCACTCTGCATTCTCCTGGCCACAGGACCCCAAGTGTCCTCAAGGCTTCCTCCTACAAAATGCAGCCATTTGAGTTCAGTAGGGCAGCCCTAACCACCACCTGCTGAAGACACACAACATGCCAACTGGGAGTTTTGCATCTGTCACCTTAAGGGACATACCCCACAGGCACCTGCCAGGCCAACCCAAACCTAGATCTCTTCTGACCCAAAAGCTGTTGTTTGACACACTTATTTTTTAAGAATTTGGAGAGATGTTTTCTTTTTTTGAGATAGAGTCTCACTCTGTTGCTGAGGCTGGAGTGCAATGGTGTGATCTTGGCTCACTGCAACCTCTGCCTCCCGGGTTCAAGAGATTCTCCCTCCTCGGACCCCCCGAAGATGTTATTTTTTAGAGTGACTTTAGGTTCACAGCAAAATTGAGCGGAAAGTACTGAAAGTTCCGGTATAACTCCTGTCCCCCCACACAGCCTCCCCCACTACCAACATCCCACACCAGAGCAGCCCGTTTGCTGCAATTGAACCTACATTGACGCATCCTCAGCACTCAAAGTTGATCATTTTCTTTGGGGCTCCCTCCTGCCGTTTTACATTCTATGGGTTTGGACGCATGTAGAATGACATGCAGCCACCCCATGCTATCCCACTGCTCCTCAAGGCCCCTATCCATGCTCACTTTTTCATCCGTGTCCAGCCCCAGCCATGCAGAGCCTGCCGGCTGTCCTGTGACCTCCACCCTCCCCAACAGTCATAGAATACAGAGCTGGCCACACAGGCTCCGGAACGAGGCTCCATTCCTCAGCAGCCCTTACTTACTCGGGAGACTCACATGGCCTCGCTGTGACTAATAGATTTGCACACTGGGCCTTGAGGGCAGGGGTGAGCCCTGTGTCTCCCCTCCTGCTCACAGGCCCATGGAGAAGGCAGCTCAGGAGAGCCCAGCATGGGAGAAGGACACAAACTTGGGTTTGAGGCAGTACCTGGGGTCTCTTCATGACAGCAGCCCACCTTCCGCCTGGACCTCACGCTAGCACATCCCTACCCTCAGCTGTCCTCATCTTGAAAGGCCCATTTTGCGTTCACTCTTAGGAGAACAGGGTGAAGCTGTGTATGATTTTGTCACAGAGCAGTCCCCTGGGCACATGGCCCTGGGAGTCTTAAGTAGAGATGGCTCAGAAACAGTGAGGTCTTCCTTCGTACTGGGGCTCCCAGCATGAAAGTAGGGGAGCTGGGAGGACAGAACTCCTGACAGGTGGGAGCTGGGCACGGCTGTGCCTGCCCTGGGTCTGGGTCTCATGAGAAGGGAGTGGCAGACCTGGCATATTCCTTATCCTCAGTCCTCGGAACACTCAGTCTTGGGAGGGCAGGTGAGCATGAAACTGCAGGGTCCCCTCCCAGGTTCCCTGCAGGGACCTTGGTGCTGCTCACCGGGCTGGCAGGAGGCTTTTAGTTTAAAGGGAGAACGGGACAATTCTTTTCTTCCAACAAACTCAACCAGAAAAGGGAAGCTGCCTCCAAAAAGATGTTGGAATTTGACATGAGGGTGGCTGCCCTCTTCCCTCTGCTCGTCTGACACTCACAGCTCGCCATTCTCACCCAGAGACTAGGTAAATCTCAAGGTCAAGTCAGCTGGTGTCATGGAACCTACCAGGGACAGCGCCCCATGCTCAGGAGCACAGAGAGGGCTGGGCAAAGGGAGCCCATTGGGCCCCAGATCCTCAGGTCTCTCTAGTGGTTCACATCCAGCTGCCTGCTGAGGTCACGTGAATAGAACGTCATTGCTAAAGGGAAGCATAGAGGTCCCGAGACAACTCCTGATCTCCTTGCTGGACAGACTGTGTGGGCAGGAAGGGGCTGTCTCCTTTGATGAAAACTGAGGCCAGCAAAGGTTAGGAAGTGGGGTGGGGGCAAGGCAGCGTGTGTGGTGAAGGCCAGCTTTCACCACAGGAGGATTCCAGGCTTCCTTTGAGTCCTGATGCAATTGGTTAAAAAGCCAAGAAAAATCTTGCTCCTCGCCTGGCTCTGCAGTCTGGGTTGGGTGGATGGGCTCTCTGCTGAAGGGACACCCATTTTGGAGGCCACTGGCTTTCTTGCCTTTGCTTCTGCAGGACCCTCCCTCTTGGCAAGCCTTCCTCCCAGGGCTCGTCCTAGGGACAGCAGGCTGAGCCCACATGTCCCCTGTCTGCCCTGCACAGTGTGCGGCCACCCTCAACCAGGCACCTCTTGGGCTGGCCTTGGCCCCTGTGGCCAGTCAGTGCCAGGGCTGAGAAATCTCCCCATCTGTCACCTTCCCCTGAACCCGAAGGCAGAGACTTTAAGGATGTTGTCATGGTAAGAAAATCACATGCACCATTGAACCTCTTTCTCCACCGACTGCCTGGCTCTCTGTCCCCCGCAAGGTTACACATCTTGACGGAGCCCCATCAATGTCTCTCAGATGCATCCCTCTGCCCCGCCCCACCCATGGATTTGCCAAGTTGCTCCTAGAGCATGTGTTCCCGTGACTGTGTACCTGGACTCTTGCGTAACCTTCAAACAACCCTCCCTGTCCCCAGTCCACACACTCAGGCTTCCGGGATGGCCTCCGAACAGAAATTGTCCTCATTCCCACACCTACCCAGCATGGCATTCAAAGTGTCTCCAGCTCTGCCCTCCCCAGGCCCATTGTCTGGTTCAACACTCCTGCCAAGCCAACCGCCCTGTCCTCATTCCTTGCTCCAAACTCTGCAAGCTCAGCTCACGACGCTTGCTCCTGGCTTCACCAGCCCTGTTCCCCTCACTGCCAGGCCAGGCCTGCCCACCATTCTCCAGTGACCTCTGCCCTCTGAGGGCTCCGAGCCCTCCCTGAGCACCTTGTCGAGGGCATTTCCCTGCAGCTCCATATCCTAGTCATTTGTCCATTAGCTTTTAAAAGCCTGGAGTCGGGGCTGATATATCCCTCCTCTGGCTTCCTCTGAGATGCCAGGCTCAAAGTCTTACAGGTAGCAAATCCTTAATGATTATTTGTTAAATGAATGTTTTAAGCAATCTTTGGCTGGGTACAAATCCTAACACTATGGAAGGCTGAGGTGGGAAGATCACTTGAGGCCAGGAGTTCAAGGCTACAGTGAGCAATGATTGTACCACTGCACTCCAGCCTGAGTGACAGAATGAGACCTTGACTCAAAAAAACAAACAAACAAACAAAAAACCAATAACAATAACCAAAGAACAAAAAATCAACAATCTCTGTGGTAGGGTGTTTTGTAGTAGGGGTTTTCAGTAATAACTCTCCTAACACGAAAGTGATTTAAGCAAGCCAATTGGTTATTTCTGCATGGGCCAGGGACCCTACTTCTTGACCTTCTCAAGAGACATGAACCTGTCCCTTCTGAGATCAGAGCTCGGACTGTGGGTCCAGGAGGTGTGGGTGGAAATCCCAGGCACCCCACTGGTGACTGTGCCATCTTGAGCAAGGCACTTTGTTTCTCTGAGTCTATTTCTTCGCAGGTAAACAAAGGCACAAATACCTCTTCACTACATCATAAGGGGATTAAACAATGTCAGAAAAAGGATGTAGCACAGTCGTGCACATAGTAGGGCAGCAGGTCAGGGAGGTGGATGCCCATCCAGGGACCCAGCAGAGCAGCCACGTCCCTACTTCTCAAGGTGGTCACCAAGTGTGTCCTCAGGGCTGCCCCCTGCCCACCTCCAGGGCCTGACCTGCTGAGCTCAGCTACGCATTGGGCCCAGAGCTGGCAGACAGGTTTGCCTCACCTTGGAAGTGGACGTAGGTGTTGAAAACCAGGTTGCTGTCCGCGCTGGCTCCCGTCAGGGGGCTGCTGACCTTCCACCCTGTCACGGCCTGCATGAACCTGTCGATCTTCTCGGCAGCGACATCCAGGTCTGTGGAGAAGTCCAGAGAGCGTGGGAGGACCACGGGAGCATAGAGAGCCAGGCCCTGCACAAACGGCTGCTTCAGGTGCAGGCCTGGGGCTGTGAAGAGGCCCACCACTGTGGACAGCAGCAGCTGGGTCTGGCCCTCAGCGCTGTCCTGGGCCACCAGCAGGCCCTGGATGGCCTGCAGGGCAGAGAGGACCTTGTGCGCATCCAGCCGGGAAGTGCAGGTCTCGTCCTTCCAAGGGACGCCCAGGATTGCCTGTAGCCTGTAGGCTGTGCGGTTGGAGGCTCCCAGGTAGAGAGAGGCCAGAGTGCCAAAGACAGCCATCGGGGAGAGGACGGTGGCCCCTTGGACCACGCCCCACAGCTCACTGTGCATGCTGTATATGTGGAAGCTCAGGAAGTTGGCCAGCATCCCGACCGTCGCGGCCCTCAACTTGTCTTCAGCGTCGAGTTTTGCAGCAGCGAGCACAAGCTGGTCCTGCAGGGCCTTCTCATCCACAGGATGCGACTTGGCCTGGATCGGAGCAGGTGTGAAGGTGGGCTCTTCGGGCTTCCCTGCACTGGCCTTCGCCAGCTCCTCACAGGTACTCTCATTGTGGATGACGAGGTGGAAGGGGTGTACGTACACCCGGTCACCTGCGACCAGGCCAGCCCAGGCCAGGAGGCAGAGGATAGGTGACCCTCAGGCTCACGCTGGCAGGAGGCATCTCAGACTGGGGCCCTCGCTTCTGCATACCCTGAAATATTATTTTGCAAAGGGTAAAAGGTGATTATTAACTGACCGTTAAGTGCCATCTAACCAGACTTTTCATTGTCTCAGTATTCCCTGCCACCGTTTAGTGCAGAATAAATCCATTCAGGTCTACAAAAAAAGAAGAGAAGAAATTGATTCAAAGCTCCATGGAAAATATCTACATGATCCAATGCACCTGTTGAAGTCCTCAACCTCAGGACCTCCGAATGTCACCATATTTGGCGACAGGATCTTTAAAGAGATGATTAAGTTAAAATAAGGCCACAAGGGTGGGCCCTGATCTACTATGACTGTGTCCCCATAAGAAGGGGCGGTGAGGACACACACACACACACAAGGAGGACCATGGGAGGACACGGAGAGAAGAGCCATCTACAGGCCAAGGAGGGAGGCCTCAGAGGAAAGCAGCTCTGTGGACAGCTCGATCCCAGCCGCCAAAACTGTGAGATAACACATTTCTGTTGTTGAAGCCTCCCAGCCTGTGGTACTTACGGCAGCCCAAGCGGACCAAGACATGCTCACGCCTGTGGCCATAAGTTCTCTCCTAGAGAAGCGAGTGTGCGCCAGTCAGTAGGTGGAGGCCCCCCAGCCCCTTGAGATGCTCATTAAATGGCCCTAGGGTGAGGCATGGGAATGGTTTTGTGATCTCCCTTCGGTCCTCACTTGCAGCCAGGATTGAGCTGGTTCAGCCTAAAGCCCAAGCATTTCCCACCCGTGTCGACCCCCAAACCAGCTCTCAACCGTCCCTGCACAGTGCTATCCCCTGCAGAGCCCCAAAGGCATGCATACCCAGCCTGGGCTGCTCACTGATAGATTCCTTAGTCTGTGCTGGGACAAGGTGTAGATTTAAAAAAAAAATAATAATAATAATAATAAAAAAAAAACAAAAAAAAAACCAAAAAACACCACCACCACCAACAAAAAAGTCTCAGGTGACCCTGATATGTAACCAGGGCTTAGAACCCCTGCCCTAGACATGGGTCACCAGAGTGGGCCAGGGGAGCTCCGGCGCCAAGCTCTCTCAAAGGCCTCGCTGCTGTGCTTCAGCCTCAGCTGCTGCAAATGAAAGCAACCTGAGATCCTGGAAGAGCACCTTCTTGGGCTGGCCCTGCTAATTCATTTCATCTGACTCCTCTCGATCAAAGGGATGAAAATTTATTCCGTTGATTCAAGCAATTCTAACAGTTTGGCCGGGCACGGTGGCTGACACCTGTAATCCCAGCACTTTGAGAGGCTGAGGTGGGCAGATCACAAGGTCAGGAGATCGAGACCATCCTGGCTAACATGGTGACACCTCATCTCTACTAAAAAAGATACAAAAAATTAGCTGGGTGTGGTGGCACGTACCTGTAGTCCCAGCTACTCAGGAGGCTGAGGCAGAAGAATCGCTTGAACCCTGGAGGTGGAGGGTGCAGTGAGCCGAGATCATGCTGCTGCACTCCCGCCTGGGTAACAAAGCAAGACTCTGTCTCAAAACAAACAAACAAAAATCAATTCTAACAGTTTGTACCACATCTCACTCATTTCTTGTGGAGGGGGTGTGCTGCAATATCATCACTTCTCAGTCTTTTCTGTCCCCACAGGGCTAGGCCGGGCTTCCTTGGAGAGGTGGCACGTCATCACTGACTCAAGGTCATCTTGATGCCTAGATTTTTCTGCTTCACCTAAGCACACCCAGTCATCCTTCTTACACTGGCCGCTGGCTTCCCTCACCCAGACTGGCAACCAGCACCTGCCTTCAACATGGTGTGTCTGCTGACGCGCCTAATGTGTTTTGGTTTGCTCCAGTCATTCAATTGCCAAAGAGACTTTGACTTCTGACCTCAGCTGTCATCTCACCCCCATCCCCATGCATTTGACTTCATCCACCGTTCTGGGGAAGAGCCATGCGACATGGAAAAACAGAACAGAAAACTCTCCCTGCTCCACGCAGGCCTTTCTGTGCAGAGAAGCCTCAGTCGCCAGTTCACACCTAATCTAGACAGTCCCATCAACTCGGATCATCAGGGGAAACCTGTGGGAACCGACTGCCGGGAAGTCCTGCCTGACAAGCGCCGACTGGTCCGGGGTTCGGATGGTGCGGGTCAGTGCCGCCACTCACTCTGCTGCTCCTGCACGGGCACCGTCTCCCGAGACTCAATTCCATGGGCCATTTTTGAGGCAGAGACTGCTGTTTGTTCTCAGTGGTGATCTGCGGCTGCTCCCTAGGCTGGTTCCAGGTCTGCACGCAGCCCGGTCCTGGGAGCCACGGGCCTGACACCCTCGCCCTGAGCGCCTCTCCGCCCATCTCTTCACCAGCGCCCACCCCTTCTATGTCCCTGTACTTCTCGCAGGCCGAATGCTAAAGGTGAGGATGGCAGCTCACCCTCCCGTGGTGCCTGTCATTTCCGGGGCACCGTTCTTGTATCAACCCCTCCGACCTCAACACAGTCCTTACCTTCCCTGAGGTTTCCTTGATGCTGTATTTCACCCTGCAGCTTTCCCCACCACGCCGGGCCCTCTCAGCTCTCTCATCCTGCTCCCCTTTTCTCTGTTGATAACCCTCTGTACCGTGTAGTTATGCACTCATCCTGTCCAGCGTCTTTACTCTGATGTGAATGGGCCCGGGGAGCAGGGTTCTCGCTGTCGTGTTTACTGATACAGCCCACCTCCCCGGGATGGTCCCTGGGACTATTACATCCTGGAGAAGTAGTTAATGAATTGCTTCATGCTGTTTTGCAGAGGAACAGAAAGGTTACAGTCTGTTCTCAGTTGTTCAAAGTCACACAGCTGGGAAGAGACAGAACTAGGACTCTCACCCAGGCCCCTGACTCCGTCATCCACAAGCTTAAGCACCAATCTATGCTGTCCTTGAATAAAATTAGAATCTGCCTTTTAGCTTATTCCAAAGCTTAGAAAACACTTTCACGTTATATTTGCTCTCTTCAGCTCTACCAGAGCCCCTGAGAGAGGACGCCAGGCATCATGATTAGCCCCATTTTACAGGCAGGCAAATGGAGGTTGAGGGAGACTGTGACCAGCCTGATGACACACAGTCAGGCAGTCTCAAGGGAGGGATACAGTGACCACTCTGGGGGTCCCAGCTGGGGGCTGACCGAGCCTGGCCCTTCCCTCCAGCCCCACTTACTGCACAAGCCCTGCTATTCCTTCTAATGGTAAGAGGAGCCGGGGGACTCGGGCATGGCGACTCTGCTCCTGTGCCAGTCTGCTCCAGCCCTGAGGACCCCAGCTCTTCTCAGCAAAAGCAGGAAGACCTGACCTTCTTGTCCTATTGCTAAGGAGAAGCAGCTCCCCCGTAAGACCCAGGGTGGGCACTGAGTGGGAGAAGCCCATGTCCTGGTGACTGGTCTTATGGGAGGGGAGAGGTGCTTCAGGCATCACCGGTAACCCCCACCGGACTTCTCCTGGCCTGCCCCTCAGTTACATCTGAGAGAGACAAGGCTGAGGAGCTGAGAAGGGCCCCTGGCTTACCTTCTGCTGTAGTCTCCGGAACAAGGGCAGCTTCTTCCCCTGGCCGGGCCACGAGGTCCTATTTATATCTGAGGGGTGGGAATGGAGCCGTTCCCAAGCTGTCTGTGCACAGGCTGGAGGGGAGGTCACATCATTTGGCCAGACCACAGGCTGGCCGCGAGGACAGACGCCAGGAAGCGACGCTCACACCGGGACCTCTTCCAGGAAGTCTTAGTGATCGATGCACAGTTTCACTGCTGAACAGAGTGAGCTGGTGAGGGTCGAGTTACACATTTACCGAAGTTTGCAGGAGTGGAGGCCAAGGTTACCAGAAACGGGAAATCTCCCTAGGTGTGCGACAGCCTGAGGACAGCTGCACAGGCCTTCTGACCCAGCCCCGGGAGACGCGCCCCTGAGAGGCCACAGGGACATGCGGACCAGGGTGCCGAGGGCAGAGGGCAGGGGAGAGTTGTGCTCAGGCACCGTGGGGGCCACCTCTGACCCTGCTGCTCACTCATGGGATGTGTGACCTTGAGCTGTTCCAAACAGCCATTTGACACCTACCCTGTGTAAAGGCCTCGAATAGACACTGGGAAAAACACACAAGCAAGTGAAAAGTGCCTTCTGGAAGCTTCCAATATAGCTGGGAGACTGTTAAACACCAACAATAGTGCAACCAGATTAAAAGACACGAACAAAACACCTTCAGGATGTGGGAAGCCTTCACTGGTGAGAGCTGGGGAGGGATGTCGCTGGAGCTGCACCCGGAGGACAAGTTGGTCCGACTTAGAAGCTGCAGAAGGGCTTTTCTGAGGCAGAGGCTTGAGTGGCACTCACCAACAGGAGGGAGAGCGTGGGTGGGGTGTGTGGGGGAACACAAGCGGGCCCAGGTGTTGGGCAGGAGGCCGGAGGAGGAGAGACCTGGCCAAACGGCTGCTGCTGCCTGGCCACGGTGGCCATGAGGTTCTGCAGTCACTGTCACATTTCCCGATGAGCCTCTGGGACCAAGGACTTTAGGCCACACTCTCAAGGAGCTGGGGTTGACACACACGCAGAAACCTGCTCCCCATCAAGATCAGGGGCCAGGTGCAGTGGTCCACATCTGTAATCCAAGTACTTTTGAAAAAGGAGACAGAAAGATCCCTTGAGGCCAGCAGTTTGAGACCCACCTAGGCAACATAGCAAGACCCCAATCTGTATAAAAAATAAAACTAGCTGCCTGGGAGGCTGGGGCAGGAGGATCACTTGAGCCCAGAAGTTTGAGGCTGTAGTGAGCTATGCTCACGCCACTGCACTCCAACCTAGATGACAAAGTGAGACCCTGTCTCTTAAAAAGGACCCTTGTGGACCTCATGCTGTGTATGTCTTCTACTGGCTGTTCATTTGAATTCCTTATAATAAACCAGTAAATGTAAATAAAAAGTTTCCTTGATTTTTGTGAGCCATTCTAACAAAACATGAGGAAGGGGTGGTGAAAACCTCTGATCTGTAGCCAAGCCAGACAGAAGGGTGGGTAACCTGAGGACCCACTACTTACAGTCAATGTCTGAAGCTGGGGGCAGTCTTGTACTGAGCCCTTGACCCTCAGGGTCTGCACTAACCCCAGGCAGCTAATATTGGAATTGAACTGTAGAAAACCCAGTGGGTGTCTGAAGAGTTGGAGAATTGGTCGGTATTGGAAAATCCTCCACTCATTTAGTTTCACAAGTGTGACTAGAGAAACAGTTTTTGTTTGTTTGTTTGTTTTAGGGAGGAAAATGCATCAAGGTATAGTTCAAGTCCTGTGAGTGGAGACATTTTATCCCTGAGGAGAGGAGAGAGGACAGACATCCAAAAATGGGGAGAGGGAAAGAAGTTGGGGAGGAGGGGTCCAAGGGGCAGTGCGAAAAAGAGATGCTGTTCCGGAAGCCAAGGAGGAGAGTTTTGCAAAGTGAGGAGGAGTTTGGGGCTGAACCTGGTCTTTGAGGCAGTATGTCATGATGGCTTAAAGCCACTGGTGCTCCTCTCACTGACCACCAATGAAAGAGGTGCCCCTTTCTGAAGTGTGGCAGGGGGCTGGATAAATGGCCTCAGGGGGCCGCATGCAGCCCGCGGGCCGTAGTTTGGGGACGCCTGCTTTAGAGCCCGAAAGCCAAGCTACAAGATAAATCCTTGAACCACATTAAGAACTTGTCTTCCTGTTTGGTGTTCTTTCCTCTAATTGATTCCCACACTTCACCTATTTTACATGTACCTGTCTTTTCCTAACTGATTTTCTACACCATTATGCCCACTTTGAATGGTGTCTTTGCTTTAACCTTTTTTGCATACTCACAAGCCAATCAACATCACTCCCCATTCCGAGTTCATAAAAGGCCCCAGGCCCAGACACATGGGGGACTTTCCCACCTTCGGGTAGGGAGACTACCCCTGCATCCCCTCCCCAGTGAAAGCTGTTTTATTGGTCACAAAACATCTTCTCCACCATCCTCACCCTTTAATGTTCAGCACAACCTCATTCTTTTTGTGAATGGGACAAGAACTCAGGAACTGAAACAAGCCAGACTGGGCCCGGGTGGGCCGATCGGGCGAGGCACCTCCAGTGGCAGGCACTGTGCCCCAAGCAAGGCCTCTGGCATCACCGGCTAAAGGTTCCTGACTGGCGAACGGACCCAGAAAAATCCTGCATCATTATTCTCCTCTGTAATCATTAGTGGTCAAGTAAGATAGTTCTCACTAATGAGACATAAACAGAAATCTGTTGAGGGCTTTTGGGAGCGCTTTCTCTGTCCTTTTATCAGCAGAGTCAGTGGTTTAGACACTAACCCTTCTTCCTCCTTCAAATGTTGATGTAACATCTGGAGACAGAACAGCCATTTTGCAACCATGAGGCAACAAATGTAAGGACCCAAAGCAACAAGCAAAGAATAATAGAAAACACCTAGGATTTTGCTTGGCATAGAGCTGTTTAAACTAGTACAAATGATTGCCCGTCTCTGTGCGTGAACACTATTTGTAGCATTTTTAGGCGGAGTGATTTGGTACCACAGAGAGCGGGGTCCTGCTGTAAAGATATCCAAAAATGTGGAAGCAACTCTGGAACTGGGTAGCAGGCAGAGGTTGGAACAGTTTGGAGGGCTCAGAAGACTGGAAGATGTGGGAAAGTTTGGATCTTTCTAGAGACTTGTTGAATAGTTTTGACCAAAATGTTGATAGAGATGTGGACGGTGAAGTTCAGTCTGAAGCAGTTTCAGATGGAGATAAGGAATTTATTGGGAACTGCAGCAAAGATCACTCTTTCTATACTTTAACAAAGAGACTGGCAGCATTTTACCCCTGCCCTTAGAGATCTGGAGAACTTTGAACTTGAGAGAAATGATCTGAAATAGGAACTTATGTGTTAAAAGGAAGCAGAGCATAGAAATTTGGAATATTTGCAGCCTGCTGATGGGGTAGAAAAGAAAGAACCATTTTCTTGGGAGAAATTCAAGCTAGCTGCACAAATTTGCATAAGTAATGAGGAGCCAAATGTTAATCACTAAGACAATGGGGAAAATGTCTCCAAGGCATGTCAGAGATCTTCACACAGCTCCTCCCATCACAGGCCCAGAGCCCTAAGAGGGAGAAATGGTTTCATGGGCAGGCCCAGGGCCCCCCTGCTTCATGCAGCCTCTGGACTTAGTGCAGAGTACAGCTCAGGCCATTGCTTCAGAGGGTGAAAGCTTCAAGTCCTGGCAGCTTCCACATGATCTTGGGCCTGTGGGTGCACAGAAGACAAGAACTGAAGTTTGGGAACCTAGATTTCAGAGTATGTATGGAAACACCTGGATGTCCAGGCAGAAGTCTGATGCAGGGGTGCAGCTCTCATGGCAAACATATGCTAGGGCAGTGTGGAAGGAAAATGTGGGGTTGCAGCCCCCACACAGAGTTGCCACTGGAGCACTGCATAGTGGAGCTGTGAAAAGATGGCTCACCATCTTCCAGACTCCAGAATGATAGATCCATCAACAGCTTGCACTGTGCACTTGTAAAAGCCACAGACACTCAATGACATCCCATGGAAGCAGCCAGGAGGAGGGAGGGTGTACCCTGCAAAACCACAGAGGTGGAGAGCTGCCCAAGGCCATGGGATCCTACCTCTTGCATCAGGGTGACCTGGGTGTGAGACACGGAGTCACAGAGATCATTTCAGAGCTTTAAGATTGAATGACTGCTCCACTGCATTTTGGACTTCCATGAGGCCTATAGTGCCTTTGTTTTGGCCAATTTCTCTAAATGCCTGTACCCCCTTTGTATCTTGAAAGTAACTCACTTGCTTTTGATTTTACAGGCTCCTAGGCAGAAGGGGCTTGTCTTGTCTCAGATGAGACTTTGGACTTGGACTTTGGGGTTAATGCTGGAATGAATTAAACCTTTGGAGGACTGCTGAGAAGGCACCATTAGTTTTGAAATTTGAAAAGACATGAGATTTGCGAAGGACTGGCAGGGAATGACATAGTTTAGCTCTGTGTTCCCACACAAATCTCATCTTGAATTGTAATCCCCACATGTCAAGGGAGGGACCTGTAATCCCCATGTGTCAGGAGAGGGAGGTGACTGGATCATGGGGAGGTTTCCTCCATGCCATTTGGGTGATAGTGAGTTCTCATGAGATCTGATGGTCTTGCAAGTGCTTGACAGTTCCTCCTTCACACATGCTTTTCTCTCTCCTGCAGCTTTACAAAGAAGGTATCTCCTTCCCCTTCCACATGATTGTAAATTTCCTGAGGCCTCCCCAGTCATGTGGAACTGTGAGTTAATTAAACCTCTTTTCTTTATAAATTACCAAGTCTCAGGTATTTATAGCAGTGTGAAAATGAACTAATACCGGCAGTTAGGTGCAGCTGAAAACATTCTTAAATAACACAACCTTTATTCTCACCTGGAGGCCAGAAGAGCATTATTCAATGGTTCAATTCTATTAAGCAAAATGTATTTCTTGTTGAATTTTGGCTCCCTCTTTGTAATAGGTTTTGCTTTTTACAATTGTTTCAGTTGTTTTTTTTTTTTTTTTTTTTTTTTTTAGGGGAGTCATCAAAATGTAGACTATAATATTTTCCTAAGGCCAGAGCTTGTCTGATATACTCAGATAAGGCTAGTAACTCTAAGCCATGAATGAATACCAAAGCTCGTGTCATGCTTTGCTTTGCTG